TAGCATTTAAGCAATTAGGGTTTGACATTAACATGACCCTAGCTAAAATCGAGATCTTGTAATGAAGGGATTCGAGTGCACGATAATTATGATCATTGGTTTCGTGGAATGTAATTGATCAGTTTAATACATTCATTTCTAAATAGGTAGTCATGATATGCAATGCTAGGCGTCACTCATGACTTATGGGACTAAGGACACATTGAAAGATCCTTGAATTAAGAAAAGTGTTTTCTCATAATATCAAAAAGTTGATATCATATTCCCATTGCTAATTGGGCATGAACCTAAAAAGTCACCCACAATAGAGATTTTATCGAATGAACAATTATTGTTTTAATTATTAATTAAAGTGTTTAATTAGTTAATTAAAAATAATAGGATTAAACTTGTAATTAAATTTACAAGGTCTCTAGCATGTCCCGAAATTTAATCCAACTAAGGGTAAATTAAAATATGACTTAATTTATATGAGATATAAATGACAAGTCATTGAGCTTAAGTCAATTAATGAATTAATCAAAATAATCTTAGTTGAAGATTAACATAATCTTAGTGGAAGATTATGTGTTTTGATTAATGCATGCATGCAAACTCCTCCACTCAAGATATGCTAATGGAAAGTGTAGAGAATTTATACATGCATTATTTACATGTGTAAAAAAAAGTGTCTTGATTTTTTCATGCATGAATGACGTATGTCATGAAGGATGCATGCATGATTGACAAATGTCTTTATGAAGGACATTTGTTATCTCTCATGCATGCAAGTCTCTCCAACCAACATAAGTTAGTGGAGAGTGTAAAGAATTAAAAACATGCATGATTGACATTTTTCATGGAGCTTGCATGCATGATTGACAAATATCTTAGTGAAAGACATTTGATATCTCTCATGCATGCAAGTCTCTCCACCCAACATAAGTTAGTGGAGAGTGTAGAGAATGACAATAAAAAGATGAAGAAGATAAGAGAATGGAGATAGTCTTGTATGGCCACTCATCTTAAACACTAAAAAGTGTTAGACACTTGACTTAAGCAAAAATAAAGATTAACTCTTAGACTACTTCAACCTAGATTACTTGGTGAGCTAAAGATTAATTCTGGACATTTGAGAGAAAAGATCATACTAGCAAACCAATCCATAGACCGAAGAATCAATCGTGTAAAGCTCGTGTGGATGGACTAGAGGCTTCACAATTGGGGAGCTATAGGTCGAGAACAATCTTTGTGCTTGGACTTCAAGAGGTATGAATTTTATTTGATGTTTTTATACCTTGCATGTGTGTTCTAAATATCCTTTAGTTGATTCTTGAGTTATGGATTCTTGAGTTATGGGCTATGAGACATCTACTTATGATGTGATGAGATCACACCAATTATCTTGTTTTTGTAATTTTTTGAAATTCCACATGCTTTCATTATGTCCCCTTCCCATTCGTTTCAGAAGATAGGAATTAGTATAAATACAATGAGAATACAAGGAATGAAGATATTCATAAAGAATTTTTAATAATTTTTCTTGTAGGAATTGACCCATTAGTCTCCTTATGGTTCGAGGGAGCTAGTACTAGAAATTTATTACCATTCACCAGTCCTTGAGTCATGCATGAGATGTATGAATGTGATGAGATAAATGTTAGTATGCATAATTAGGAATAATGTGATTATTGTTTAGTATGCATGCTAGGATGAGACCAACCTTATTAAATCATTCAATTAAAATATTAAGTTAAATGCTTTCCAACGTTATGAGGAAAGAACTCTTTTGGTCATTTTTGGCTTGTTGAGATAACTTAAGGTCACTTCTTCCGTGAGGGAAAAAAATCATTGGTCATGCAATGTCCCTGAACATTGGGTTTAACTTAAATGAGTTGTTGGGTTTGTTGAGATAACTCAAGGTCCAATAAACTTATAAGCAAATATCGATATTCATATAAGATGTGACAAGGACAAGGAGTCGTCACACCAATGGAATTATGAGTTACATTAGATGTAATTGGTAAGGAGTTACCTACCTAATCCTTCATGTATGGCTTGTTGAGATAACTCAAGGCTAATGCATGTTAGAGGATAGGATCCTAATCCACTAGGAAAACAAATCGAAAAGTTTTCTCGAGTATTATATTGAAGGTTATAGAACTTAAAGCAAATAGTGGGAGAGAACATAGATTTTACTTCTTTAATTTATGCTTTTTTATGCAATTTAATTAATCAAATCGTATGCTTTTCTATCCTATCGATTGAACAAGTATGACTGGCAACATATCGATACGATCAATCATTGATGGAAGTAACGCCTTTAATGGCATAAACTTTCTCGATTGGGAAATGAATTTGAGGATAGTCCCTCAACATGAGAAAATTCTCTATACAATAGAGAAAGCCCTTCTAGATGAGCCTCCTCTAGTTCAAGGTGAAGCTCATGAAGTATGGATCAAACATAAAGATGATGTGATCATTGCTTAGAGCATCATGTTTGTCTGCTATGACATTGGAGCATAGGCACCAATATAGAAGGTCATAAGCTTTTGATATCATAGCAAAGCTTTAAAGCTTAGTTAAGGAGAATACTAGGCATGAGCACTATGAGATAGCAAGGAAGCTTTTTAAGGTCATAATGGATGAGGAATCCAATGTTGAAAAGCTTATGACCTTGTATTGCAATCATTGCCCAATAGCTTTGGACGAGTTCATCATGAACTTCAAGATGATGCACATGCAAAAGAATCTTAGAGAGTTATTGTCCATCCTAAGGGAAGCTCAGCCCAAAATTAACAAGAAGAACAAAAGCTTTATACTTTTAGTTAACAAGGGAAAAGGTATAGTAAAGGGAAAAAAAGCCCAAAAAGAAGAAGAAGTCTTCAATCGCACCTATTAGAGGAATGAAAAGGCCAAGGCTCAAAATAGCTCAAAGCATGCAGTTTACTTTCATTGCAATAAGAAATGGCATTGCAAGTGAAACTACAAGGAGTACCTAAAAAGGGTGCAAAAGAAGAGTTCTACCACCACCTCGAGTATTTATGTTATTAATGCTAATCCTTTTCTTTCTAAATTCCACCTCATGAGTATATGATGCTAAATGTGGTGCTTACATTTTTTAAATGTATAGGACCTTAGAAAAGGAAAGAAGATAGCTAAAAGGGAGTACATAACAACAATGGATTAAAGAATTGGACCATTAGATGTAGGTATTTTTGAGCTATTACTACTATATTAAGATGTGCTAAGACTCAATCATTATTGTTTTAGTAGAGACTAAAGATCTTATTTTCATTTCTTGTTTTGAACAAGTATTTTATTTTTAAGAATAATAGTTATTTTTAAGAATGAGTTTTTATAGAAATATTTTGACAATGATTATATGTGTTAAACATAACTCCCTAATGTATAAGATAAATACTATAAGACTCAAATGATCTAAATAAAAATTAATTAATAAGCAACATAAAACTTAGTCATATAAATAAGAATCCTATATCCAACCTACTTATACAAAAAGGATATTTAGAATCATTAGATGATGTCTAAGGAACCTTGTTTACTTGAGAAAAGGGCATGTATTCCTTTTTAGTTGAAAATGAGAAAGAGTTACTAATCAATATAGTACTTATACATAGAGATGTATATGAGCCTATTTTCACCCAAGTAAGAGGAGAACATGCTTGTCACATAACCATTAATGATAATGGATCATGTTATGGTTATAAGACGCAAGTCTAAAACATTTAAAATGTTTAAAAGTTTAGACTTAAAAGGTCATGTAATAAACTGGTAAGAGTTTTAAAGCATCTTGATTAGATCGAGGAGTTGAAGACTTAAATGCTAAAATGTTATATCATCTTAAAGAGAATGAGATTCTATATGGACATCCCATGTTGACATGATTAGTCCATGATAAGTCAAATTAATATCTCTAATTGTGAATGAATATTCCTTACTACAACCTTTAAAAGGAATAGGATTTTAATTTATTAAAATAGGTAACATATGAGATATGGGAAAGGAAAGAGAATGAATTAATCTTCCTTTAAGATTTAAGGTTATAAAATGTATGTCAAAGGGTTTTACAAAGAAAAAATAAAGCCTAAAATCAATAAAGTGCTAGATTGTGAGATATCTTAAAGTAGGATTGGATGTTAATATCTTACCACTAGAACAAAGTGTTGTTCCTTGCTAAGCACACTATGTTCCTTGAGAAGAAATATTTGGATACTAGAAATAGTGGGAGGAAATTTAAACTCAATAATATTTGAGTAGACTCAAAATTAACACTTTAATAATGGAATCCTAAAGTACAATGATTACAAGGTGTTATAACTCTCTCACAAACAAAAACACAAGAATTTTAAAATTTCAAAACAAATTCGTGAAAAAAGTAAAAGGTATATGATCTTTTCGTCTTAACACATTGTGATGTGAGCCCTAAAAGAGATGACAAAGCTAATACTTTTGAAATGGCAATGTTAGAAAATGATTCCTATAAAAGGCAAATAAAGGGGATGTGTAGTTGACACACCCTAATGGTTCCCAAGAACATATAAATAAGATTTACGAAAGGGCTAAGGTCCATTAATAGACTTATGTAAGCCTCTAGGAGTATAAGTCCACATTTTATAAAACAATCAAAGAGATTATTCATAAAAAAAAGACATATCTTATACGTATAAGAAGCGAGTGGGAGCCTACTAAGTCATGGTTATTCGAAAAAACATTACACCTCGACTATAATATTATCATGTTGCAAACAAAATTTTAAGAAATCTAGAAGAAATTTTCCAAAGATGACATGTGAGAGAAACCTACAATCTAAGAGTACAGATATATGGAGATAAATCACTTGGAATGTGAGGAATCTCCTAAGGTAGTTACAATTACATGATACTAAAAGGTTTGGTATTGAACAATCAAAGAAAGTTTTGTTCCAATTTTATATAGCTTAATGACCGATAACAAAGGATCCATAGCACAAGCTAAAGAACCAAGGTCTCATCAACGATCTAAGATCTCTTTCCCACCCTCTCTCTTTTCCCTCTCCCTTCCTCTCCCATTCTCTCTCCAAAGCTCTCTTTCACCCTATCTCTCTCCTCCTCTCTATCTCCTTCTCCCATGCTCTCTTCCCTTCTCTCCATCTCTCCCTCTCTCATTTGCTCTCTCCCTATATCTCTCCCTCTCTTTTTGTTTCTCTTTCCTCTCCCCCTCTCTCTCCCTCTTGAGATGCCCTCTCCCCGGCCCACTCGCTAATTACCCAAAAGGAGTGGCTAGGCGAGGCATGTCACGCCGACACAACCAGTTTCTAATTTAACCTTAAGCACGTATGTGCTCATACATTAAGGACTTATTATATTGTGAAATGCGTACAAGATAATTTACATAATATTAGAAATATAGTGGAAGAAATTACAAAGTTTAGTTATAATACTATGAAAATGTTTATCGACACCCCAACCTTAAAATTACGAGTCAAAAGAAATTTCGATACATTTGGGTCACACGTGAGCCTTTTTGGAGGACCCGATAACATCTCGACTACTTTTACTCATTCCTGTCATAACATGAAAACAACAATAGGGTGAGTCGAAGCTCGGTAAGTAGATGATGCATGTGATATACAATGTAGTTCCGTTTTCCATTCTACCCATCCATTTTAATCCGAGTACCCTAGGTATTAGCAAGATCGTGCATTCCATCTCTCGATGATTGTGTTATCGACTACTACTCTATTACTCTCACTTAGTGATCCCATTATCACCTACCGCTCATAATGGAATTACCCCTCGTTGTAGTACACGGTAAGCGAAATTATCCATTGCTTAATGGTGTTAGTAATAGAGCACGCACATGATTTCATACCGTTACCCATTCCATTCAATTCGGTTACCAAACCGCATTATCTCATGACTCAATGATATTTCTCGATTTCATATCACCCCCGAATGCATTTGATGCACATGGTACTATGTTTAACACATTCAACTAATTATTTTATCAACATTTTCTTCTCGGACAATTCTCATGTCCGATGCACACTCGAGACTTCACGAGTGTTTCATGTACCATTCAAGGTATTGAAAACAAGAATGTGAATTTCATTCATTGGTAGCATTCGTTGCATAAATCTACTTCGTACTTTCAAGTTTTTCCTTCTCGTGTACCTTACAAGTCTAGGCTTGGATTTTTGATGTATTACTTAGTTTACAAGACTAGTTAATCCTAAGGATGTATGTATGACATACTTAAGCTAAAATTTTGTTTAATCCATATCTTTAATCTTAGTGGTCGAAGTTGACTCATAATGGGTCTAAGTCCCTTTTTGGTTTTTCCTTGGGTCACCACCCCTTTAATATTTCATTTTATGTTTGTTTAAATGCACTTTAACCCTTATTTATAAATTCGAAGGTGAGAACCTAAATCCCTAAAATTTATGAGTCTAAGTTGAATGTGTCCTTAAGTGACCAAGGAATTGTTTTTCCTTTTCTAGGTCAATTTCTTTTTATACTAACTTACCAAATCATACTTAAAAGTTACCAAGGAAACGTACCTTAAGGTTAAAAAAGGAAAAAAAATTGAGCCATCAAGTATCTAATTTACCTAATGAAATCCAAAACCCTATTTTTCCTTTTTAGTTGGACCGATTGAGTTTTAAGGTAGCCATGGATTTCCTTTTATATGTACTCGAATTCATTTCAACCCTAAACAATTAATCCATAACTAATTGGGTTACCATGATATTCCGGACCCGTAATTACCCCGAAAGATCCATTCTTTTCCAATTTTTCCCACTTGGTTGAATGGTTTTAACCTAGGGAAACTCTAGAAGTGTATTTCTTGTCTTTTTCAAGTTAAGCTTACCAAACCTAGTTTAACTTCAATCCATTCGATCCATACCCTTTTTCTTTCCTTTTCCACTCCAAACCATCAACAAATTTAAAGACATTAAACAAGGTTTGCATCACAACAAAAATATATAAATCCATCAAAATTTAGAAAGCCCTAACACCAACACAAACAACCATAGCAAACCATTGAAAATTATTACAAACCCATGAAATAAACACTAAAAAAAATAACTTAAAACATTAATCAACAAAAAATGGAACCTACTTAATTTTCTTGAATTTCCTAAACGTTGGTTAGGCTTTTCCCTTCTTTCTTTCTTTCTTCTTTCGTTTTTCTTTCCTTTCCTCTTCGTCTCTTTCCTTATCGTTTTCCTCTCCTTTTTGGGTAGCTACGGCTGCCTAAAATTTATTACTAGTTTCACTCATTCTCTCTCTCTCTCTCTCTCTCTATATATATATATATATATATATATATATATATAGACATGCTTAAAGTATTAGTATAATTAAGTGTAAAAATGGTTGACTTTAATTTGGGAGAGTGAAAAGCTATTGGGGAGTCAAGAGAGAGAGAGTGATGGGTCCGAGGGGTTTAGGGTGAGTCGGCTTTAATTCATTAATTAGGGGGTTTAGGTGTCCTAATTAATTTGTTAGAGTAACTAAACACCTTAAATAATCTATTTCAAGTAACTAAATACATTTATTTCTATTAAATTTCAGAAATCCCTCTCCCTAAACTCAAACTTTTCTTCCTCCAAAATATTCCAGCAGTGATTCTTCAAGACAAGCCTATACTAAAATGACCATAAATCTTTATGTATAGATCTAAAAATCACAAAAATTTACAGAGAGCTAGTAGACACATAGATCAACAATTTTAATCTGTATGTTTTACCCAAATTGTGACGCCCCGGCTCCCTTGCCTATTACCTAACAAGCGTGACCAGCGCGACACACTTGTTGGGACTAAGTCCCCTACTTCCTCCATCATACACAACGAAACTAAACCATGAGAAACGTATGATATAATTTACAACATTATTACGGATAGTTCTATAATTTATAACATATTCAAAATGCTTAAAAATTTACAACCTAGGCCCATACCCCTTTTTAATGACATATGAGTGACACATGAGCCTCTTTTAGCGAGAACCGGTAGCATCCTCGATCGACTTAACTTTTCCCTTGCTCGATCAACACACAATTACAATAATAGAATGAGCCAAAGCTCGGTAAGTAGGATGATGCATGTGATATGCAATGCTATTGTGTTTCTCATATTTTTATCCATTTTAATACGGGTACCCTAGGTATATACAAGTCCGTGAGCCCAATCTCTTGGTGATCGTGTTATCACCTACTCGCTCTATTACTTTCTCTCGGTGATCTCAATATCACCTACCGCTCGCAACAAAATTATCCCTCATTGTAGCACATGATTAGCGAAATTATCCCTCGTTTAATGATGTTAGTAAATAGAGCTCACACTATGGATTCCTTGCTATTACCCAATCCACTCAATTCGGTTACCAAACCGTGTCAATTCAAGACTCAATGATTTTTCTCAATTTATTTTCACCCCTAATGCACATGATACACATGAGACATGTTTAATCACATTCAACCAAACTCGAGTACCAGCCCTTCTTTCTCAAGCCATACTCACGGTCCAACCAAAACTCGGGATTCACTCGGTGCTCACATACCAATCATGATACTCATAAGGGAACACAACCTCTGCTCATTAATATTGTTCATTAGTTTCATTAATAATTAAAGAAGGTCCAATTCCTTTTTTTTTTAATTCCTCTCCGAAAGAATAAATTTTCTTTAAAATTTTAAAATCTTTTTTATTTTTATCTAAGTCCACTTATTTTAGTCTAAGCTCATTTCGTTAGTCTAAGCCCATCTACTTTAAAACCACGCCTTTTGATTTTAGTCCAAGTCCATTGCCAAGTTTATTTAATTTATGTCCAAGCCCAAGTCCATTTGTTTTAATCTAAGTCCACTTTATTTTTAAATCCAAGCCGATTTATTTGAATCTAAGACCAAGTCCATTTTTTTTTAATCTAAGTCCACTTTATTTGTAATTCCAAGCCCATCTCATTTTAACTCAAGTCCAAGCCCATTACCATTAATCTAAGCCGATTTATTTTAGGTTAAAAATTTTTCAGCAGTGGTACACCTAAATAACCTATACCAAATCAACCATAAATCCTTAAAAATATATCTAAAACTCATGACATTTTAAGATGAGATATTAGAAATATGGATCAACAATTTTAATTCTTTAAGTTTCCTCCAAAAATCATTCGAAAATCCTTAAATAAATCACACAAGTTTCGAAACTAAATAATCTTTTCTAGTGGTCTGGTCCATTCAACGATCCGTACCAAATCAGTCATAAATCCTTACATACAGATCTAAAAATCACAAAATTGTATATACATCTAGTAGAGACATATATGAACAAATTTCCTTCTTTGGTCTGCCCAAAAACCACTCTGTGATCCCAAAATAAATCACACAACTTTCGGAGTGAAATATTTTTCCAGTAGGTGGTCCATTCGAATGATCCATACCAAGTCAGTCATAACTCCATATATATATTTTTAAAAGTCATGAAAGTTTAGAGAGACATAGTAGACACATATATCAACAACTTTCATTCTTTGTATGTTTCCTAAAAATCACTCTAAGATCCCAAAATAATTCACACCAAGTTCGGGTTTTTCCACCCCTAAAATCTAGAAATCTTCTCTTAAAGCACATTTCTCATCACACATGCATAACCATCCATCATCAAACATCAAGTGTTTAAAGTCATCACAAAATACCATAATCACATTTTACATGAATTAACAACTCATAAAATAAACATGGAAGGCATAAACAAAGCAAGAAAAAAAATGAAACCTACTTACATTGGATTAGCTTTCCTAAAATCTCTTTGGCTTCCTTTTAGTTTCCCTTTCTTTTTCCTTTCTTTTCCCCTTCTCTTCCTTCCCTTTTTTTCTCCTTCTCCCCTCTCTTTCACTCTTTCTTTCTTTGCTTTAAGGAAGGCTATGGGGATGCACTAAAAATTGCATCCTTATCCCATTTTTTTTACTTAAATATCTCATCTAATCTCATCCATTTAATGCTTATTACAAGTGTTAAGAGCTTGTGGTGAAATGCAAGGTAAATGTGGCTGAAATAAATGAAAGGATGGCTTTAAATTTCAAGGAGGAAGAGGTGATGGTCAATGGAAATTTGTAGAAAGTAAGTGCCAAAATGTGATTAAATGAGGGTAATTAAATTAACTACATTTTTAGAATTCCTCCCAAAATTTCGGCAATTAGCACTTTTTTTTTCTAATTTATACTTATTCCATATAAAAGAAATTTTCTAACTAATTT